GAGAGCAAATCAGCTGAGAGTCGGGAGGCTGATCCAATCAACTTGTACTAATTAGGATGTGCTGAAGCTGAAAGGAGCTGTTTTTTCTTGCTGTTTGCTTGCAAGGAGGTAACTGCTGCGAGGCAGAGGCCAAAGGGTGGGGGCCTGTGGATGGGCGGGGCTACATTCGGTGTATAAGATGCACCTAAATTTTCACCCCCTTTTAGGAGGGAAAAAGGTGCGTCTTATACTCCGAAAAATACGGTACTTACAGTATGTACAACTGTTCTGCTAAACCTTGGCAAAAGGTTTAGCAGAATAGAAAGCCTTTGATAGAAAGCCTTACATTATTCCCTTTCCTAAAATGGTAAAATCTGATCTAGATTATAATACTGTGGGATGGGCTGATGGTGGCTGAATGACCACATGTAAAGACTGAGGGGCTGTATTGTATTGAAGGAACAGTCACAGTCTTAGCCTTTTGCTAGTGAACATTTTATCAATGACTTGGATCAGGGAGTTGAAAAGACACAAAGTTGAGAGGACTTGCTAATATTTTGTAGGCAAAAAAATCTAAGCAGGCTTGAGCCGTGGTCTAAAATGAACAGGATAGAATAAAACAGGGAGAAATGTACAAAATTGCACCTAAGTAGAAAAAAAAATCAGACACTTTTATAGAATGGGGGAAAAAAACCTGGCTTGGCAGCATTGTGTGTAAAAGATCTAGGTAAACTTGTTGAACATGTTTAACATGAATCAACAGTGTGAAACTACTACTAAAAAGTCAACTGTTACCTTGGAAGCATAGACTCCTGCTTATGGGAAAAATTGCTCCATTTGAATCTCTCCTGTTTGAATAACTTTGAATATTGTGTCCAAGCAGGACAGGTACAGACTCCAACAGATAGTTAGGACTGCAGAAAAAACAACTAGACACGGGGTAATTTTTTCCTTCCATGCCATCACTCTGCTAAACACCTAATTCCCCCAGCACTGTCTTACAGGATATTAGTAAATATACCTAAGGATATTTACCCATGTAATAGGTCGATATTGCTATTATGTTTCTAATCTTCTCATCTTTCTTGTCTTCTCACATTTCCTATTACCTTCTCTTATTGGTATCTTATGATTTATCACTTTGTTGTTTGTATCTTATGATTTATGATTTATCACTTTGTATGTACACTGAGAGTTTATGTTTGTATGTGCACTGTATATTTGTATGTACACTGAGAGCTTATTCTCCGGAGACAAATTCCTTGTGTGTTGAATCACACTTGGCCAATAAAGAAATCTATTCTATTCTAGTTCTGGGCATCACTGTTCAAAAAGGATAGCAAATTAAAGTGATCTCAGAGGCGAACTATCAAAATAACGAGGAATCTGAAATTTAGAACACTTAGAAACTAGGTATTATAGCCGACACAAAGGCAACTGAGGGAAGAGAGGATAGGTGTGTTCAAATAACTAAAATCTTGTCACATTATTTCCTGTTGCACAGATGGCATGATAGCAGCTGACGGTTAGAATTACAAGGAAGCATATTATTGATTGATGTAAGAAATGAGAGAAAAGGCTGATCTATTGCCTCAACAGAGGAATCCATAGACATGATCTAGACCAGTGTTTCTCAGCATAGACTTCAGGTTGCCCCTGGTTCGCACCGGTTCTATAGAACCGGTAGTAAAACCGGCAGGAGGCTCCTCCCACTGACCCCGACGTCACTAAAATGCTTCTGCGCATGCGCAGAAGAGTGCACAGCCCTGCTGCGAACCGGTAGTAAAGGTAAATAGAACCCACCCCTGCAGAAAAATTGAAAGGCAACATCATGAGAACATGGCATATACAAAAACGAGAGCCCTGGTGGTGCAGTGGTTAGAATGCAGTACTGCAGGCTAACTCTGCCCGCAGCCAGGAGTTTGATCCTGACCAGCTCAAGGTTGACTCAGCCTTCCAGCTTTCCAAGGTCGGTAAAATGAGGACCCAGATTGTTGGGGGCAATATGTTGATTCTGTAAACTAGATTATTTGATCTTACTAAATTAGATTATAAAGTTATACTAAATTAGAGTGTACTAATTATACTAAATTAGAGAGGGCTGTAAAGCACTGTGAAGTGACATATAAGCCTACGTGCTATTGCTATTAATAAGGGATGTGGGGAAACTGCATATGCTGATGATGAGCATATACAGACACTCCAAAGCAGCGATTCCCAACCTTGGCAATTTACAAATATATATATGGATTTTAACTTCTAGAACTCCATAGTACGGACTTGCTGAGAATTCTGGGAGTTGAAGTTCATTCACCATTAACTTGCCAAGGTTGGGAAACGCTGCTCCAAAGGAAAGGCAGAGCAGGCGAAACAAAACCACGCGGGGGTCTCAGAACAACCCCGGGAAGACCTCAAACGAGGCCAAACTCCCGGGTTGCTTACCCAGCAGTCTTCACGGATGACCTTTTAACTTTACCAATCTGAAGTTCTGCCCCTGGGAGTTGTGGTCCTTGGGAAGCCGCTGAGTCCGTAGCCTTTGCGGCGTGAGCTTTGGGACGAACGGCGGGAAAACGCCAGCGGCAGAGAGAGACGGGCGGGCGCCGTCCACGAAGGAGCGCGTTTTCTCCTTCCACGCTTTAACGGGTGCCGTTGCAAAAATGAAAGCAGTTTGGCGGAGTTCCTTGGCGGAGTTGGCAGCGCCCCTCAAACCGAGGCGCTCCTTAAATCTGGAAAAGCGGGAACCTCCGTGTTTTCGGAGCCCCCCTCGCTTGCTTTCCTTTCGGCTCTTGGCCCATTTACGCCCTCCCGCTCCCCCGCAGTCTCCTCTTGTCTTTTCGGAGAAGAAGAGGCTGCCTTTATTTTTGGCGACCGTCGGAGAGGCGGACGGTCTCTAAGGGCCATCGGCGCCCAAATCCCCACTAAGCCGCGACCCTCCGGAGGCGATCCTGGATCCGCTACTACCTGTCGTATTTGTTAAGAGTTAGAGAGATTGGGGAGAGTAGGACAGACGGTAATTATTTGTTACAGAGTAAGGCAGACGGTTGCCGTTTGGAGCTCTTTGGAAAATGTTAACCAGGTTTTTTATTTTCTCTCCCCTCCCGCTCAGTCTTAGATTTAGAATAACATTGTTGTCATGTTGAATGTACACTAATCGGCGTAATGGAATTTCGTTGCATACAGCTCTCAAAGGGTCACCACCTCCAATATATATTACATAACCATGAAAGAAAGAAAAAGAAAGAAAGGAAGGAAGGAAGGAAGGAAGGAAGGAAGGAAGGAAGGAAGGAAGGAAAGCACAGAAAGGAAAGAACAGAAAGAATAGAAAGAACAGAAAGAAAGAAAGAATAGAAAGAAAAAGAAGGAAGAAAGAAAAAAGAAAGAAGGAAGGAAGAAAAGAAAGGAAGGAAGAAAGAAAAAGAAAAAGAAAGAGAAAGAAGAAAGAATACAAAATTATGCCTATACCCACATATATTATATGACACAGAGAAACAACACACCAGTCCGGATGTATACATGTACATGGCGAGAAAAACGAATCTTGCGAGTTTACCAGGCGAATGGCATAGGGAACAAAGCTGTTACAGAATCTGGTAGTCCTGCTAGAAATACTTCGAAACCTCCTCCCAGAAACAGACCATGAAGTGGGTGTGTGGGATCTCTTAACAATGCTTTGAGCTCTAAGCACATAGTGCTTTATAAGCCGTATCCTGAATGACAGGAAGCAAGCTTCCTATAATTTTCTCTGCTGTCCTTACCGCTCTCTCAATGGACTTTCTATCTGAGGCACTGCTGTCACCAAATCAAACAGTGATGCAGTTTGTTAAAACACTCTCAATTGTGCCTCTGTTAGAAAGTGACCAGGAGAGAAGGAGAAAGATTTGCTTCTCATCCTACACAGGAAATGCAGACACTGGTTTGCATGTTTCACTAAGGATGATGTGTGAAGAGACCAATTCAGATTGTTGGTTATCTGCCCCTAAATACTTAATACTGTTGACCATCTCTACAGCTGTATCCTTGATACTGAGTGGAGTATGACTATGGCGTCTCTTTCTAAAAGAGTCGTGTCCGATTCTCAGAGGACAAATCCCTGCATTTTTCTTGGCAAGGTTTTACAAAAATAGTTTTGCCATTGCCTCCTTCCTAGGGCTGAGAGAAAGTGGCTGGCCCAGGGTCACCCAGCTGGTTTCTGAACCTACGGCTGGACTAGAACTTCAAGTTGATTTCTAACCTGATGCCTTAACCATTATACCAAACTGGCTCTCATAGATTTTCATTAAGGCCATTGTAACCTGGAGAAGCAAGTCCTCCTGATGTTTGTGTCTCAACAGCAACCCTGTGAAATAGCTGGGCTGAGAGATGGCGAAGGGTAGAAATCACCAAGGGAGCTTTGAGGGCTCAGATGAGCTTGTATTTGGATGTCCCTAATTTAACTCCTTCACCCATAGGCCACAGTGTGGTTTTTTACGTCTTTTAAATGCAACCAGTAAAATAAATAAGGCTGAATATATATCCATGAATGAAGGATTGCTTCTTCCATCTCCTCCTCTTTTCATTATTATTGCAGTATTAAACATGCATATTCATCTTATCCCTAAATCTGCAACAAACTTTGCTCAGTTTGTGGTACTGATACAGTAAATAACAATTTAAAGCCGTAAGTCCTTCATTCTCCCATTGCAAAACTTCTTCACAATGTCATTGTTACTGATGAAATAAAATGTTAAACCCTCATATTTGTAAAAAAAAAAAAAACAATTAGGAAAATGTTTATTTTTTAAACATTTGTTTAAAAATAAATAAATAAAAATGTTTATTTTTTAAACATTTGTTCTCAGATCAAACTGATCTGTATTGTATGTACATACTACTGTATGTAACGAACAAAGTATTTAATAGGACTATTTCATTCATTCAGATCTCAGATGTCTTCTGCTTGTGTTCCCTTTATTTTTTTGAGCAGTGTATTTAATGTATTAACTAAGTGCTTTCATTTTAGGTGACCACAGGAATAATTGCTGGACAATACAAATTCTTTAATATCTATGTGAAGCTACTCAGAGAAACCATATAGGAATGAGGTGCTGCATGCCACTTTTATGCAGATAATGCTCAGATCTCCATCCGATTTTTATCACCTCAGATATGCTGGGTCTCTGGTCTTCTGGTTTTGGATATATTGCAGTCTGGATAAGGTATGACAAACAAAAGCAGAATCCAGTCAAGTTCAATTAGAACAGGCTCCCCTCCCCAAGAAGGGGCTTGCAATTTATGGAGACTTCTCAACTCTGTGCATGTCCAGAGTTCTCAGCCATTCTTTGGTCATCCTCATTTCATTTGCCAACTTCATTCCTTTCTGTGTAGGTCTGACCTGGCCTCTGAACTACACACTGATTGCCTCCCAATAATTCCAAATATATTATTGTAATGGGCTTTGTGTGGACTTGAGGAACACTCAGAAGCAGCAGAATATCCAGATGTTGGCTAGACTTCTGCTGGGTGTTTCATGTGACACTACTGTTTTGCTCAGCTGCACTGTCCCTCCCATTGTTCTACAAATGCAAAGTGTTAGTTTTAATTTACAAGCCCCTTTATTGCATAGAAATACTCATTCTAAAGGAATGACTTAGTCATTATGACACCAACTGGAAGCTCTATTTCTCTGCACACTCATCTTGGGTGCTGCCAAAGAAGGAGAAATAGAAATTATTCTAGTTAGAATTACGGTACCTGAAGCTGAATCCCTTTGAAATGTTATCCTTGCTGAATTTAAACAAAGTCTGAAAATCAATGTTTATATGCTATTCTCCCCTTCATGACTGGCATTTTATTACTTAGGTTCAAAACTACTGTATTTTTCGAAGTATAAGATGCTCTAGATTATACCTTTTTGGGGGAGGAAAACAAGAAAAAAAAATCTGCTTCTGCCTCCCAGCAATTTGCCTCCTTGCAGCAAACAGCAAACAGCCTACTTTAATTTCATTTTCATTTTCAGCACAGCCTGATTAGCACAAGAAAAAAAAAATCTGCCTCCCAGCAGTTTGCCTCCTTGCAGCAAACAGAGGAGATCCCTACGGCAATAGGCAATGGCAATCCTTGCAGCCTGAAACAGCCGAGGATTGGGAGGCCGATCCAACTGACAGTCAACTACTTGTGCTAATCAGGCTGTACTGAAGCTGAAATGGGCTGTTTGCTGTTTGCCGCAAGGAGGTAAATTGCTGGGAGGCAGAGGCCAAAGGGTGGGGGCTGGTGGGTGGGCGGGGCTACATTTGGTGTATAAGACGCACCTAAATTTTCACTCTCTTTGGGGGGGGGGAAGTGCATCTTATACTCTGAAAAATATGGCATTTGGAAAATGTTTTATCTATTTTTTATTGATTGATTGATTGATTGATTGGTTCAATTTATATGCCGCCCTTCTCTGGAGACTCAGGGCGGCTTACAATGTGTTAAGCAATAGCCTTCATACTTTTGTATATACCTGCTTAGTAGGGCTTTTGGCCCCCCCTAAGCGGTGTTCTTTTTTATACGAAGTCATCTTATTGCCCCCACAATCCGGGTCCTCATTTTACCTACCTCGAAAGGTTGGAAGGCTGAGTCAACCTTGAGCCTGGTGAGATTTGAACTTGCAGTAATTGCAGGCAGCTCGTGCTACTTAATAGCACTTTAGTCTGCTGCGCCACCAAGGCTCTTTTGTTTATTATGTAGGTTTTATTTATTCATGATGTATTGTAGTTGTAGATTTGCTGGTGATGTCCCACCCAAATACTAACCAGATCTGACCCAACTAAGCTTCTCAAAATCAGTTAGGAGTCACCATCTGGCTGAGAGAAAAAGCCTACAGAGAACCTCGAACAGTAAATGAGTTCATTGTGATAGGGAGAATGGGAAATCAAGAAAGGGAAATAAGCAGAGTTGTAAAGCCTGACTAGATACCTTGAATCTTTCATACAAATAGTTCTGGTTAATTAGCATCATCTATCAGGAAAGAACAATCTTCTTTAACATGGTGTTTTCGTGCTATTTTTGGACTGTAATTCCCAGAATTCTCAGCCACTACAAACAGGCTGAAAATTAGGAGCAAATGCTTATTGAACTCAGGGAGACAAGTTCTTGCAGAAATGTTTAAGACTTACTCCTTAGATACTTTGTCCTCAAAACCTTGGACATTGCTTTAGGATAACAGATTTGAGTTTTTCATTTTGCTACTACATTGTTCTAACAGGTTACAATGGCAGTACTGTAATGTCTCACAAGGCTCCTGTTCAATCCTATATATTTGGAAATGTATGTCAACTACAATATTACATTCAAATTTAGGGTCCAGAAATCTACCTTCCTTCCTCTCTGCCTTTGCTTATATATTACAAGAAGCCTATGCTGTGATTGGAACGACGTGCAGTATATTTTAGAGTTCTTGGTTTAATGGATATAAAATATAAACGACAACAAAGAAATAATAAAAGACAAAAATCTATCAGTGTGTATTAAATCTGAAGTTTTCTTTTTCCCAAGATTCAGTCTATAAACCTCACTTTTGTCTAATTGTTTTCTTTAAAGAGTTCTTTTGCTAATAATTCTTGTTTGCTAATAAATCATCCATAATATGAACAGGATCCCTTTGAGATCAAAATGGCTGTACTATCAGGCGGCTGTGCAATAGTATGAATATGCATGAGATTTTTTTTCTTTAAGACTGCAGATGCTTTGCATACTGATTTGGGGTTCTTTTCTCCAAGTTCTTGTACAGCTGTCAAATAATCTGAGGATTTAGATGTCCCAAAGCAGCCATTTATATGATGGATTGTAATGACTCTGTAGTTTCTCTGGAGCCATTATGGTTGATCAGGTCAAATACCAGCTTTTCAAAATGCCTTTAAACCAAAGGGCAGCAATGATGCATTTTAAATTGTTGCTGAATTCACCACATCCAGTTAGCTGTGTAAAGTTTTTATGGGATCAAATCAGTTTAAGAGCACAACTTTCCCCAGTGGCTAAATTACTTTACACTGAGTTCAGTTGAGCCAGGTGAATATGTACAAAATTGCCACCTTAGGTTGCAGCCAGACAACTCAACTACCATAGAACTAATTAGGCCTTTATTTCCAATCTTGAGGAAATTTAGTAAATGGTCTCTTAGCAGCCTCTGTTCTGGTGTTTTCCAACTTTAGAAATACCCCAAAGGGGTTGTTAGACAAGAGCTATAGTAACGGGAGGAACTATAGATGCAAATGATCCAAGATCCTCCCACCCACTCACCTCCCATGCCTCACTCTTCCATTGAGCCAGTGTTTGCTTGTTTAATGGCTTCCATGAAGTGTTCAGTTGGAGGTTCTCCTATTGGGCAAGATACAGCTGAATGGCTCTTTCAGTCATTTCCTTAACAGATCCAGCAAAAAGAGAGATCATTAATGTTGCCTTAGTAGCTACATACTGTATTAAGGCTCTTAAAAACAGTGCAAGTTATACCTGAGGCAATGGTGAAATCCATTTTTTTTTACTACTGGTTCTGTGGGCATGGCTTGGTGGGCATGGCAGGGGAAGGATCTGCAAAATCTCCATTCCCACCCCACTCTGGCCAGCCAGAGGTAGTATTTGCCGCTTCTCCAAACTACTCAAAATTTCCACTACCGGTTCTCTAGAACCTGTCAGAACCTGCTGGATTTCACCCCTGACTTGAGGGTACAGGTAATCCTCAATTTACAACCACAATTGATCCCAAAATTTATGTTGCTAAGAGAGAAATTTGTTAAGTGAGTTTTGCATTAGTAACACGGTTGTTAAGTGAATCTGGTTTCCCCATTGACTTTGCTTGTCAGAAGTTTGCAAAAGGCAATCACCTGACCCCCGAGACACTGCAACCACCATAAATGTGAACCAGATGCAGTTCTAACAGAACTGTTGTAAATCGAGGACTGCCTGTATTATGTCTTGGTTAGTAGAATGGAATCAATGATACCATGAAAAGTACTAACTAGTACAAAATGCAATAGCTAGGCTGTGAAATCACAGTGCCCATACAACATTGAAAAATCTACTAGTTGGGCACTGGGCAAAATGTAATGTTTTTGATATTGACTTTTGAACCCTAAAGAACTTGGGACTTAATCATTGAAGGGTATTTCATGACAAGTCTTACCAGCTATTAAGATCTGCACTCAATGTTCTTCTGAAGATAGCCTTACTGTTGGAAACTTACATTTACAGCACATTGAAAAAAGGTTCCTCCTAGATTGCTCTCAAGCTGTGGAATGTGCTCTCTTGAGATTGTCTATTGCTCCTCCTCTCTCAGCGTTTAGAAAACCTGGGAGGGAAAATTGCCCTTTTGCCATGCTTTTAAGTGTATTCATTAAGGTTAGCATTAATTTAAATGTTAAGTTTAAATTTAATTAACTTTTCACGTTCTGTTCTGGTTGTTAGCCATCCGGAGTGTTTGCCAAAGTAGAAAGATAAGATACAACTTTATTTTTAAAAAAATTAATCTCCTTAATTCTAAAGAGAGATTAACTGAGTAGAAAGGAATGAATGTGCTCCTGGAAGCTGGCTTGAAATCTGTTCATTGCTTAGCAAAAAAGGTAAACATATCTAGTTTTCATTTCCTAGTCACGCATATCAAAGATCCATATAGTAATATTATTCCAAGTCGCAGAAAAGAGTTGTATTAGTTTGACGAATGATAACAAACTGTCAGCAAACCCTATTTTTCTTTTGAACGTAGGATGGCAATGTAAGACAGCTCTTCCTTATATCTTATGGCAGATCGCAGAGAAGAAAGATTTGCTGAGGCCAAATGAATTTACATAAATCCAAATGTATACTTTTCTTATTCTAAATGAGGAACAGAGTCAGTTTGATGTAATGATTAAGGCATCAGGCTAGAAACCAGGAGACTGTGAGTTCTAGTCCCACTTGAGATATAAAGCCAGCTGGATGACCTTGGGCCAGTCCTTCTCTCTCAACCCAGGAAAAAAGGCAATGGCAAATTAATTCTGAAAAACCTTGACAAGAAAACTGCAAGGACTTGTCCAGGCATTTTCTGAGAATTGGACATGATTGAATGGAAGAAAAAAAATGAGGGAAAAATATATCCCAATTTAGGGCACCATTGGATTATTGATTCTAGAACGGGATTCTGACTCCTGAGGAATTCCCTGAAAGCAATTGATTTTAATACTGGGCCAAGATACTTTGCTGACAAAAAAAAGTGAAATTGGAATCCTACTTATTTTTTGGCAAGGGACTGGCAGTCCAATTAAAAGTGAAATTTCAACATTAACTATAAGAAAGTAGCTTTCCTATATCAGAAGGCAGCTTAACAGATCTGAAATAGTCTCCCTGATACAGAGTTTGGTTGGTTTGATGCTGGTGTGAGACACGGCCTTACTTAGTACCAGTGGTTGTGGTCTAAGCATAACTAAGCTGAATCTCCCACATTGTTTTTAAATACTATATTTAGCAAATTTTGCTTACCAGTGTTGGTTTAACCTTTAACCACAAAAGTTAAAAAATGTTTTTAAATGCCTTCAGAGCCACCACTGGGACTTTGGAAGTTGCACCAAATAATTTAAAAAACTACTATGCAGAATTTAATTTCAAGCTCCACCAAAACCTTCCCATCTTACAAAGCTACCCTTCCTAATGCCATAATCGGAAACCCTCGGTGGTGGTTTTCCCATGTCAGTCACAGCTGTGGGGTATGAATTGGCACTGGTGAACAGCCTCTGTCTGTGATTTAAACCTGCATTTAGGGTGCAACCCCTTTGTGGGCTTAAATCCTGACATCTTTCTGGGTAGGAAGAAGAAATTGGACTCGTTCACTTTTCCCTTCCCAGGCTGCATTTATCAGGGAGCTCATCAAGGAACAGAAAAATCATAACTGGATGAAAAGTTAACTATTATAACCAGATTATGTTTTTTTTTTTAAATCTTATCTGTCAATTTAGTCTCTGAACTTTACTAACCTATCTAGTAATTAGCCACAAGAAATACCTGATGTATTGGGCTTTTCTTTATACTGTGGCATAAAGATACTGCTTAGAGTTCCAAAATTCAGTGAGTTGGGAGGAGGTGCTGCCAGCCAGCATATTGAAATAACTGTGACTTTTCTGTACATTCTGAAGTAGAAGCACTTCAAAGCAATGGGTAAAAAAATATATGCCCTGGTTATTATCCAGATTGAACATACATGTTTGGAATGCTAAAGCTCTGGTGGTACTAAGTCCTTATTGTATCTATAATACAATAAGCTTTAAAAACAAACTTCTTTCCAACCATCTGAAACACAACAATTTGCCATTTGCAGAACCCCAATGGGTGAAGTAGAGATGACATAACCAGTGATGAAATCCAATTTTTTTTACTACCAGTGGTGTGCGTGGTGTGGCTTGGTGTGCGTGGTATGGCTTGGTGGGCGTGGCAGGGGAAGGATACTGCAAAATCTCCATTCCCACCCCACTCCAGGGGAAGGATATTGCAAAATCCCCATTCTCTTCCCACTCCTGGGACAAGGATATTACAAAATCTCCATTCCCACCCCGCTCTGGAACCAGCCAGAAGTGGTATTTGCTGGTTCTCCGAACTTCTCAAAATTTCCGCTACTGGTTCTCCAGAACCTGTCAGAACCTGCTGGATTTCACCCCTGATCATAACCCACACTGCTTTCTAGTCTGTTCTATAGAGCAACCTTTCTCCTTCTTTCTTTCTTTTTTCACTGTACTTCTCAGTGGTAGCTTTCTCGAAGGCAGTAAGAAGCCCCTTCTTTCAAAGAGGTTCTGCAGCTAGATTTTATTCTCTTGTTGCATTATACTTTATTTCTTACTTCTTTTATTGATTAGGGAAATTATTTTGCACAATGTGGTTTCCTATGGGCATTTTATTGGGGTTAGTGTCCTTGCAAGTTGCACTGAGTACAAAAGATCCAACAGCATGCACATTTAAAATCATTTACCATAATAAGGGTAATGCTAATTAGAAATTTAGACTATCTTGCAAAGAGGACTTCTTATTTAAACTGCTTAGCATGAAATATAAATCCATTAAAGAGTTGCTATCGAAGGTGAGCTCTCTGGTTTTCTGGAAGGTCTCAAAGCTTTCAGTCTTCTTCTCAAGTGGCTTAAGGGGACTTGTTTTTCCTAAATGTCCCATGCCTCCCTAGGACTTAGTGCTTTTTTCTATCTTCAGATACAACTAATGCAGAGAATAAGCACTCTTGCCTTCTTCACACAGATGGACAAAATCTATTTCTGCATCTCAAAGTAGAACAAGAAAGTGAAAAGTTAATGGGTTGATGGGTGAAAGTTATATGTTCACTCCATAGGTGGGTTTCAGCAGGTTCTGATCAGTTCTGGAGAACCGGTAGCAGAAATTTTGAGTAGTTTGGAGAACTGGTAAATATAACCTCTGACTGGCCCCACCCGCACCTATTCTCTGCCTCCCGAGTCCCAGCTGATCGGGAGGAAATGGGGATTTTGCAGTAACCTTCCCTTGGAGTGGGGTGGAAATGGAGATTTTTCAGTATCCTTCCCCTGCCACGCCCACCAAGCCACGCCCACCAAAGCATGACATGACCACCAAGCCACGCCCACAGAACCAGTAGTAAAAAAATTTGAAATCCACCACTGGTTCACTCTCTCATTTATTTATTATACTTATATGAGCCACGGTGGCGCAGTGGTTAGAGTGCAGTACTGCAGGCTACTTCTGCTGCCTGCCTGCTGCCTGCAGTTTGGAAGTTCAAATCTCACCAGGCTCAAGGTTGACTCAGCCTTCCATCCTTCCGGGATGGGTAAAATGAGGACCCAGATTGTTGGGGGCAATATGCTGACTCTGTAAACCACTTAGAGAGGGCTGTAAAGCACTGTGAAGTGATATATAAGTCTAAGTACTATTGCTATATCAGGCTGTTTTTTAAAGACTTAAAAGCAGCAGGCATCAGAGTATGTATAGAGCAACCCTCATTTAGAATAATGAAAGAAGACTTTCAGGCCACTGTTTCGGGGAGAGATTCTGTGTTTTTAAATCCTGACATTTTAACAAAATGGCTCAAAGGTTGTATACCAGGGAATAATTATACAGGAATATTTATTCTGCTTAAAAAGCAAAGGACAATTTGGGAACTCTCTTTGACTGTACATTGTATCAAGTGGACAATCATTGAAAAGCCTCCACAGATTTTCATTTTCTCTGATGTGCAAGTAGCCATTTCCAGGGGTCTCATCCAGTGGTGAAATCCAAATTTTTTTACTACTGGTTCTGTGGGTATGTCTTGGTGGGCATGGCAGGGGAAGGATACTGCAAAATCCCCATTCCCTCTCCACTCCTGGGGGAAGGATACTGCAAAATCCCCATTCCCTCCCCACTCCTGGGGAAAGGATATTGCAAAATCTCCATTCCCACCCCACTCTGGGGCCAGCCAGAGATGGTATTTGCCAGTTCTCCAAACTACTCAAAATTTCCGCTACTGGTTCTCTAGAACCTGTCAGAACCTGTTGGATTTCACCCCGGTCTCATCCTGGTAACTGCTGAGCCGTCCTTGCCTGCTGTGCTTTCCACAGTACAGTGAAAACAATGGTAGATGTTTTGGGACTTTAGCCATACTCAACCCTGGTATAAATGCTGATGGTTCTAATTTTATTTCAAAATCTAGTAGGCCGAATCGTCATTGTTTAGGTGCCCTCTTGCCCAGTCTGCCAAGTGATGCCGTGGAGTTTGGTCCTACATACTTTACCTGATGGAGCCATTGAGTATAAGAGATTGAATGAGGTTCTACTAGCATTCCAGGAGCTGAAAATGATAGGCATTTGAACAAGGCCGTGACTAAATTTACCTAGTAACATCACTTCATATTTCCTGTTTTTTGATGGAGTCCTAGGAAAATTCTTTTTCAAAAGTATAAAAATAAATGCACCGATACAGTCATGACTATAATATTAGGATCCCAGCTGAAACACATAAAAGCAGAGGAAGTTGACTCTTAATATAGCCATGTATGCTTGAAGAGGTACCTATAAAGGTCATCTACCAGAGTTTGTTCCTCTAGCCTCTGACCCCAGGTGATCAGTCATAGGAAATGCCTGGGCCTAAACGCTTCATATCTTCAGTTTCAATTTATTTTCTCAGGGTTGCTTTACGATACCAATTGTGTAGAAATTTACCCTAGAAGAACATTTGCATACTGTAAAAGGAAAAAAGGAAATGGGGGGGGGGGAGAGGTGAGACAAGTATCACAATCTTTAAGAATGTGCGCCATCTGCTGGTCATAGAGGGTTCAGTTACTACATGCCAGAATATTGTTGCTG